TGCTGCTGGACACTGTGCAAGCCCTGAGATCAAAAAGGATATCCACACTTGGGTCCTGGCTGAGCTTAGAGGAAATCTCACAACACTCAGTTGCTGAAAGCCAAGGGTGTCACTGATGGGAGTCACTGGAGATTACTCAGCAGCACTGCTGTAACTGCTCGAGACCATCTGGCTGCAGCAGTTCAAGCCATCGTCTTTTGACATGTTTTCTCTGATGACTTTCTGGGATCTGGCTCTCCTTCACCAGCAAGAGCAGCTGCAGGGGCCCAACACAATGGTCAGGCACAGCTCAGCATCTCAGTGTATGCTGGTGCAGAGGGTATTTGAGCAATGATGCCCTGACTTAGCTGGGACCTGGGTGCCTGGCCTCTTCTGCTGCCACCTTTTTGGGCACTGACATCTTAAACTACTACACAAAGATTTGCCAGAGCCTGGTTTGGGTGAAGTACAATACCTGTGTAATGTCCAGAGGACATGGGTATTACTAGATGTGACTGCAAGTTCAGCCAAAAGAGTGGAGATACCTCTTTAGAATTGCCCTTAAAGTGTAATTATACTTTAAAAAAGCAATGTAGTAGTGGCATCAGGAGGCTTTATACACTACCAGTTCTAATTCCCACAAGTGTAGTTTTCAACAAAGAAATGACTTTGTTAATTATCTGCTCTGAAAACCAGGACCTGATCATCCCTTTTTAAATTAAAGCCTGTCCATGTCCCAGAGCTACTCTAAAGTTAACAGAAACCAACACAGATCAAACCGGCCCCCCTTACTGCAAGGCTTCTGGTCTCATCTGCTACGGTAACACTTGCAGGCACCGCTCCAGTATAGCCCATGGTCTGCTCAGGGTAGAAGTAATAATTAATCCAGGTGCAGCAAAACCTTTGAACTCAGACAAAATTTTCAACCAAGCAGCTCTTCATCAGGGAATGCTGATTCATCAAAAGTAAAAAGGGTTGCTGGAAAGGCTCAATTTTGATGAATTTCCCAATTAGCAAAAAATATATTTGTTTGAGAAAGGAAGATTTCAAATGGCTGAAATCTCCCCTTGCAGCAGTTCCTAAATCCAATCTTATTTCCTCCACATCTTAAAAAAAAAATGCATGGAAATGTGAGTTAAATTTCAATAAAATTAAGAAAAAGCTTTTAAACTGAGTAAAAAAAAAATCAAACAACAGTTGAAATTATCAAAATGAAACGTTTTTATTAACATAATTGTGTTTATAGTTGCACTTCACAGTGTTTTTTAGGATTGCATCTTTCTTCCCAGCTTAGATGGGAAATACTTCCCGGGTTCTCAGAAATTAATGAAGATTAACAAACAATTTTCTGTTGTAGGTAGAGCAAGTGCATCTTGATTTATGACTTTTGTGGCCTGGAACACCACATATTGCTCTGACCATAACAAGCACCCGAAGTGTCCAAGCTGAGGGAGGGAGACAGACAGAATCCATGGGGTGCACTAGAACAAACAGAGCCTCCTACCTCTGAGCGAGTCATCCCAGCTCCAGTAGCCTTGAATAGGACCAGATGTTTCATGACCTTCTGAGATGTCTACAGCAGGTCAGATGACTTGCTCCCCAAAAATGCCCACTGCTCTACAGTGCCACTGTAAGTGACATGAGGTGGCTCACGCAGGTGTAGTGGTCTGCACAGGGAAGGGCTAATGTCAGAGGAGGTGAATCTCTTCCTAAGGGGATGAGATGAGTGGATCGGGGGAATGTCAACATAAGTCAAAGGACAAATGATAACCCCTAACAGCTGGGTGGGAGCAGGGAAGTTAATGCTTAAGTTTGGTGTCTAAATACATTCCCATCCCTTTCTATCATGGCAGTAGGGTTTTTTACTGACATTCTGCCTGGGCACAGCTGGAGTGCTCCTCAGCAGCTCACAAGGCTCACAAGGTAATCAATGTTTAGCTGGTTGCTCATTAGAGCAAACCACAGCAATGCAGTATAAATAGATTGTATCAGGAAAGGAAATCTGACCTGCTCGGGGACTGAACTGTCACAGAAATTGTCTTTGTGTGTGACATGTGTCACACAGTACAAATATCTTTGTGATGGGAACCTTTGTGCTTTCAAAAATCAGGCCACATCATGGAGGTGCTTACTGACCAGGAACCGCATTTTAGGCACCCAGACCTGAACAGCTTGGCTGCTGCTGGTGGGGTGGTGGTGCTGGGATGGAACTAAGGGCTGTAGAGCTGCCATTTTATCACCCAAGGATGGTGACCAGTGGCACTGGTTTTGAACACTGTGCCTAACTTTGTTGCTGTGGCAGGCTGTGTAAGTGGAGAAGGATGTTGTCTGTGTTGTTTAAATACTAATGGTAGGAAAAAAGTAGAAGGATGATTGATCCAAATAAGAAATGTCCAGCATATGCCTGAAAGGCAGTGGGTTTGTGTCCTTCCATGAACTGTGAGACCTCTGAGGCTTTCAGACAAGCAAGAGGGATAGGGATATACATCTCCGCCTCTTCGTCTGTCAGTCATATCTTCCACTGGTTATTATCTGATCTTTCACCTTACATTTACTTTTCTGTTTGTTGCCTTTTAACCTGTGTGATGCCTCAACCACCACAGGACACTGGTTTGCCTTTCCCTCAGAATTTCCTCTAGCACCTTTGTTTACCAAAACACCCATTTTTCCTTTTTTTTTTTTTTTCATGAAGTATTTCCAGTGCATACCAAAAAGCAAGGAGGAAAAGAGCAGCTTTCAAACAGAATGTGAACCATCTCTTTGCAACAAGCCAGAGAACCTACAGGAAAAACAACCAACATACAAAAATGTCTGACACCTACCATTTGTCCATAACTTCCTTCTCAGGTAGATAGCAGAAAGTGTTCCCTTTTCCCACCTAATTTACTCTTTAAGACATAGAGAAATATGATCCTTTTCTTTGTTACCAGCAACCCCACTCCATCGGCTTTTCAGTCTCCTTGGTTACACCTATCTCAGTCGATCCAATTTTTCTTTAAATTAATAACTGTGCATCAGACATTTCCAGATGAAAGTGTGTCTGGATGACCAGGTTTTGTCTCCTGTCTTTTATCCTCTGTTGGCAGCTTCCTTTTGCCTACTTGAGGGAAGGGCATGGGTTTAACCATGGGTTACCATGGGTTTAAAAATCAACCCCTGCAGCAGAGTGCAGGCCACTGTCCTTGCCAGGAATGGCCTCTGTACCTTACCAGAACTTCCTGTTTGTTTGAATAACATCTAGAAAAGATAAAATAGCAACTACAAAATCTAGGTGAGGTGTCAGTGGTTTAGCTTTCCATGAGCCTTTTTTTTTTTTTTTCTTTCCCTTTGGTGTCTGGTTTGTGCTCAACTCCAGTTTGGAGATTTTCAGTGTTGGTGTATTTTCACAGAGACATTAATGCCAGGGATAATCACTGGGGAGCATGGTTCACCTCTGCTGACTTCAGCCATCTAAAACTTGGCTGCCTGGCTTCTTAGGGCAGGTCTGTTCTCCTAAATTAAAAATAGCCAGGGCTGAATTTGAGCTCCTGATTGCCTGCCTAACTGGAGCACAGGTTCTGATCTGGACCACTCCAGAGCTGTTTTAGAGGAGGCTGGTGCATGCAATCTAGTCTGTGTTACCTAACCTTAGCTCCAGGGCTGGTTCCCATGCATTTTTCACCCAGTTATAGCTATAACCCTAAGCTACACCTACAGCATCAAATAATTTAGTTCCCCCATTCATGCTTAGGTCTTGGATCCCTGGTGTCACCATTGTATGCATGTTGATTCACTCCTCAGTCCTCTTCTGGAATGTATTTGGGTTTGGAACTAGATGATCTTTAAGGTCCCTTCCAACCAGACCATTCTATGATTCTATGAATTCCCTCTGGAAGAAAACCACATTGTGTTTCTGGGGACCATTCACTTGAAAAATCTTTTATATCAGACAGCAAGTTTGGTTCCCCCATTCTGCACCTATATGACATGCTCAATCAAGAGCTAACATCAGGGTGGATATGTTGCTGCAGATGAAAATGACCACTTCTCCTCTGCATAAGGCTGCCATTGGGGTGTTCTCTAACCAGTGCCATGTTGGGAACTATTATGTTGATGCATGGAAGAAGAGGACTTGGACCATGATAATAAGCTGTGTCCTAGCCAAGTTGGATTTATTGCTGAAGCACAGAACATAGATGGAGATCATTTATTCTGGACATGTTAAATTCATTTAGCTTTTCAGCATGTCCTCTCTGGACAACTTTGGATAGAAATATGGGAGACAAATCCTGGGGCTTGCAAAAATTAATAAAATGAGATGAAGAGTCACTGGTACTTTTTCTCAAAAAGTTAACCCAGTATGACATATGGAAAATACATGGATGTCAGAACATTACAGAAAAGAGGACATGGAGCAGGACAAACCTGAAATCCTTGGATGGATCAGGTGTTAACCAAAGATGTAGAGGCCAGCTGCAGAAGATAGAGACCCCACTGATGTGCTTCATCCTGAGCTAGAGAGATGGCCCTCAACAGCATGTAGGTATCACATCCCACTTGCTCTTTGTTTTCTCTGCTAGCAAATGCCAGCAAAAGAATCTTTCCTGCTCAGAATTTTTCCATTTAATAACCTCACTACCACTCTTCTCATCCAGCTTCATGCTTGGCTGTGATGTGTTACAGGAGTACTGAATGCAGAGCACGCTGCTGGCCCTCTGTAAATATTAGAGGATCACAAAAACTTCTTTCTTACGTCTGTGGTTTGTAGCCGCAATGAAATGACACAAAGGCTCAGATGAGAAACTGACTTGCCAGTATTAAAATGTCCAAAATGTACTTTATTCTTTCATAGATGGAGGACATCAATATGAGCAGAACCTCCCCAGGGAGCTCTGTCATATTGACTTAGCCACTAGGAGCCTGGGGTTGAGGTGAGAGAGAGTATTAAATTTTAACTACTCTTTAAATAACATTTTTGAAATCAATAATGTGGGTCCTGAACCATTGGCTTTCCAATTGCATTTGGTTGCATTGTGGATGCCATGAAGATGAAGTTTTACCTGCTCTTTTTTACCCTATTTATCTGGATTCAAGAGAAGCATGTCTTCACTCTTCCAAGGTAAATATCTGCTGGTGCTACTGGGTTTTTAGTGTGTGGTGAGTGGGACAGAGAAAGTATTGAGGCAAAATAACTCCAAGTTGTATAAGAAAACATTTGGCAAAGGTTGACATTTATTTATTGCTCTTGTAATTGGATATGTGGTTCAATTTAACATATAGATGGTGGAGGAAATGAAATTATTCTAAGTCTGCTTTGCATCCATAAATCCTGTGTTTTTAATCATATTAAAACTATTTTTTGTGGTCTAAGTGCAAATCAATTCTCTTCATTCAGTGCTTTTGAATGCCAATAAAGGGCAGTCTGAAACTTAATGGGAAAAAATAATTTGCTTCGTTTGCCTTAAAACAAGACCTTAAATGAATTACATCTTGAGGTAGAAAGAGAAACCATTTCAGAAAGTGCTAACAATCTGTTTTCTTTCTAAAGCAGCTTTTATGATTGTTTTTCCAGTCATAAATCACTTTCGAATAACCATTTGGTATTTGTACAATGTTTCAGAAGCAGCTTTATTGTTACCTATCGATAAACTTCAGAAATGCCCTGAAACCAAACACTTTCCTAAAACATGAGAACATATGTCAGAGATGAAGACAGGCAAAGTGCTTTTATTTTCTACATGTACAGCTGGTTTAAAAATCTGAAATGCTTTAATAGGTAGAACTAAAAGGATAAGCCCCTCATGTGGTGATATTAAGCAGCCTGAACAACCTAGAAGAATCAAGATTAAACACAATTTACTCCCAGGACTGAAATACCTACACAAATAATAGTGAATTATGTCTCACAGCCCTTCTGCAACTCTGCACCACATGCCAGTGGCAAACCTGTGACAGGTGAACACCGTTGAGTTCATGCCTTAAAAAGAGGATTTTTCATCTTGTATTGGGTCTGGCTGGGATGGAGTTGATTTTTCCCATTTGTGTTGCAATCATATTTTGTTGTGGATTACTATGAAGATGTGAGGTTTACAATGGGGGGACAGTTAAACAAGTTTTTAGGTTAATTCAGTGGAGCAATATTGCTCTGTGCTACTTGAAGGTTTATTTATTTTGTGTTTAAAGAAAACACTGAATATCTGACCCTTATAGAACAATATGGCATTTCCCACTGGAAAGTATAGGTCTAACCCTCCCAGCCTTGGTTATGAAAATAGCTGAAATAATGAAATTGTAAAGGTGATAAATTATATCTTTTTACTTTTATTTGAGTGCTAGTGTTGGAGGATTTAATGGCCATGTATAAAAGCTTCCCTTTGCAAGGTTGCAGTGAGATTACTGCATCTGGACTTCTAAGAAAAATACTGAACATTGTGAGACTTGTGACAGAGCTGATGGCACTGGAAAGACATCTGGCTAGAGGCTGTTGGGAGAGCCAGCAAGGTGGGAGAAAAGAGACCCCACAGGCAGACATCTGTGCTCCAGGCAGACAAACAGTTTAAATCATCCAGGAGGACAGGAGGAGATGCTGGCAGCACTTTTTAGTGGCACTAACTGTTGAGATCCAGGGTAAGATGTTCAGCTGGAGACAACTAAGGAGGCCTCTCTTCTGGAAAGGTTAGTCAGAAAGAACATGCAAGGTTTAAATGAAACCAATCTATGAGGATAAGGAGACACATCCATGCTGATGCCTTGTTCTTGTGGGCCTGTGTGATATGTGATGCTGATGGCTTTCTTAGTGACTAAGAAATGCAATGGAGAGGAGAGGCAAAGAGACTGAGATGTTTCCAGAGAACTGGCACTGATTTGTCTGCCTGTGAGATGGTGGACAGGGCCCCTGGATGGGATTCATCTGACTATATGGGCTTTCTGCACAGTTCTTCATAGGAACAGGTCCTCTTCATCCTCCTGTACAGCTAGTGGAGAAAAATGTGTGTATTTAGGTTATAATTCCTTTCAGTTTAGCAGATACATCTAAATGAGCTCAGGTTAACTGGACCCTGGAATTGCCTGTTTCTTTATTAAGAGATTGATCAGCTCAGATAAAGATATCAAAACCATCTAAAATGAACTGTAATTCATCCCACCCACTCTGTCATAGCTACAGGATAAGCCCTGAGCATTGTAGTATGGGGATGGCAGCTGGACTTCTATTTACCCAGAAATAAAAAGGAGAGGAAAAAGAGATGGGAAACAGTGACAGAGTCCAGGGAGGCCCTGGCAGAAAGTTGAAGGAGGGGAATGAGAGGGATCCTCTTGAGCCCAAACTCAAAGAGCAACTAGGGAAGCAGGGTATGAGGACAGAAAGTGAAAGAAAAGAAGTGTGTTCAAGATGAACATGTCCAGCTGTACCAGGGCAGTAGACAGGACAAGGAAGCTGGAGGTGGAGGGTTGGTCCTGAGATTGGTATAAGAAGCAAAAATTAGAGCTTTTGACTGTGTGTTTTCTAACAAGAGTGGGGCAAAAGACAGATGAAAGAGGGTGTAATACCAAATTGAGAAGCCCAATGAATACAATTTCAGCTGTTAATACTCCCCATATTAAACATGACTACAAGAGCAAGGGCAGAACCTGGATCAGCTTGTTCAGTGTATTCAGGTCCTATCAATGACAGCTATAGAGAAATCACTGCTAGCTACCATTTGTCCAGCACTTACCACATTCAGCTGAAATACTTGTGCAATGAATGGTGGGGTACAGGTACATACCGGTTTCCCCATTATGGTACTCTCAGGCAGTGGGAATCATAGGATGAGACCAGATGCAGCAGCCCTTTTCTGGTCTCCCCAGTGAAAAGACTCCCCCAAGTACAAGAAGACAAATTCACTTTTAAAGTAGCCCCAAACACAAGCTCTGGAATGCACTTACCTAAGAAATGCCAACCCTGCCTATCCCTGATTGCTTTTTGATGCTCTGTCAAATGATGGTGGAGGCAAAAATAGGGCTGGCATATTGTTGGTTCTGCATGAGAAACAACAGTGATTGCTTGGAGCCTGGCTAAAAGTAGAAAAGATGAATCACCTGGTTGCCAGATGCTGTCAGGACTCTGCTTGAAATCAGTCACAACAATGAGTTGTGACAATCATATTATGCATCTTGAAAACACTAGTTTTGAGAGCCTTGCCTGTTTTTTTGTCAGGACAGTCTTTGCAGACAGGGTTGGCAGGGACTTCCACTGTGCCTGGTTTATGCACTGCCACCAACTCCACATGATCAGAGGGCCGAAAGCCAACCCAGCACAGAAAATGGAAATAGGGGGTTGACATTCTTGAGTCTCCTCCTACACACAGAAATTATTTTAATTATCTATCCAATGCAATTTTGAACTACATGGCTTGCAGGGCACTGAAGATCAGGACTGGATGTACAATGCAAAGTGGTATTTTTTCTTTCCAGAAAGTGAATTTAACTTCTGTTATTGATGGTGGGGTCAGGCATGGAGTAGCTGGGAAGGGCCCTCTTGTGTACAATATATCTGGACCACAGGTTTCCAGTAGAAATGGAATACCAGTTACTGGGCAAAGAGGAGGAGGACAGTGGTATAGACCACTTGAAACCTTACCTGGCAGAAGGACAGAAATGAGGGGATCAAAAAACCTGGAATGGAGTAAGAATGATGATGGTATTGGCCTCTGCATATCTAGAAAACTTTGTGTTTGGCTTTTGCAGCAGGTTGGGAAGACTCATGCCTCTGCTGAACAGCAAGTAAGACTGAGAAACTCAGAGGAGACCAGGAAAGCTGTTTTCCTGGTTCAGGCTAGTTTTCCACTGGTGCTGCTGCACACTGGATCAGCTGGGACTGGCTGCTGTTGTGCTGGTGTTAGCTCCCAGGAGCAATGTCAGAGTCCAGCAGCAGATATTGGCTACCAAAGCCATGCACCAGCTCTTTCATGGATTTTACTGGTTAGCAGAAGCAGAGGCTGGAACGGAGCTCAGCATCTTCACTACTGAATCTCTGAGTTCATGGCAGGGAAGCTGAGACATGCCCAGCCTGTGTCTCTACTTTTGCATAACCTAGAGTCATTCCAAGTACCTGTGCTTTACCTAAATACTCTTGATTTTCAGGGATGAAGTTTTGTGGGCTCTTCCACAAACAGACACACAGGTTGAAGCCCTTCAGGATTTACTGAACACCACTGAGGTAAACGCTTCACTCTGTCTCTCTGGTCTCTAGGCCAAATTCTTCCTCCCAAGTGCACTAACTATTTCCCTCTCAGAGAAAGATTTAGCCCAGTTTCATTCAATTGGCCTAATACAGCAACTCAGCAAATGCTTGGTTTTCATTGCTCCACTACCTTCTGATTTACACAAGGAGACCCCTCCTTCATAATGTTATAGCAGTGTGTTGTATGAGAGCTCAGATTTCTGCAATTGATTTTCTGTGCTAAGACACTGCAAAACTGGTAAAGCACAGACACACAGTAAGTAGAAACACTTTTGCTACAGAACCTCAGCACTCTAGACCAATGCAATATTGACCTATATGACTTGCACGTCTTTGAAGATCAGGGCTGGACTTTCATTGTATTTTTCTTAAAGCAGCATTTAGAAGATAAAAATATCTTCAGCAATAGTTTTTTATTACTTCTATCTGTCATTAGACAGTATTTAATTGAAATGAGGCATCTCTTACTCTTCAAAAGCATTTTCCCAATCACACACTCACAGTTTGAAGCCGACATTTGGCAACAAAGTTGTAACCGTTCCCTCAACCAACATAATTTACAGGATGATTGAGGATGTGTCTCAGGTGACTGAGAGATTTTAACAGTGCTTATGCCCAGTATTTCTTGGCTCTTATTAATTTTATGTCCACCCAAAACCCTACTAGTCTTCTACTGTCCCTCCTAGCATGTTCTGATCCTTCCCTTCAGTTGACAAAAACCTTGATAAACTTCCTTGCTCTTTTCCACCTCCACATGTCAACTCACATGTCCATCTCCTTTACTGTATTAAAATAAATCTCCCCTCCTCCATCTTTTCCTCACCACTGTCATTCTTCACTTTCTTGTGCACAGCAGCCCCAAGAAGCCATGAAGAACAACCACAGCACATTCAGTGCAGAGAGAGCGGTGGTTTCTACCAATTCACCTATGTGAATATGCAAACTGAACAGTTTCCAAGGGTTATAAACTTAGGGTTATAAACAAGGGTTATATGGTCATTTTTTTTTCCATGGCTATGATTGGACAAGTTATATGAAGAAAAGGGAAAAGGAATTGGAGAAGGAAAGCAAAAGGAAAGGGAGTGGTAGTGGGAAAAGGAAGAAGTGGCAAATGGTACCTCCCAACAAATTTTAATGGTTACAATCTAGCAAAAAAGAAGCAAATTAAAATTAGCATTTTACAAGAAGAATTATCAGGCTAATTATAGGTACTACTCCTGCAAAAGTTGGAAAGCAAAAGCCTAACCCAAAGAAAATGCTTTGTTCTTACAGCACACACATTGCACATATCATACAATCATATGTATTATTAAAGTTTCCCATCTACCCCCATTCACTGTTCTTCTGCCGCCTTGGCTGTGTCAATACAGAGTTCCTTAGTTTTTCTTATTCTCAATTAAGTACTGCCTATATCAAAGAGAAACTAAATCTGAACCGGTGCACGACAGTGCAGACAGCAGGCTAGCCAGGACAACAGGGAAATCAGTGCTGGGGCAATAAGCATCCAGCTTGCTTCTTTGGGTTTCCCCCCAAAATACTGAGCTATGCGATGCTGTCACTACCCTGCCAATAATGTCTGAGATGGCAACACTGCGACTAGCTCAGCCATTTCCATAGCATGCTGCAGTAATATATCCAGGGCCCAAATGTTCTACCATTTATTTTTACAAAGCCTTGGTTAAAAGCATGGGAGAGTTTTCTGTATGATTTTGCAGACACGTTCTCTCTGAGAAATGAATGAGGTAAACAGTTGACAGCTGACACATGCCTGCAAACTTGGTGCCCTAAGTTGAATGTAATATTCCTGGTGCAACTGCACCAGAAAGGAAAAAAAATAAACCCTATTGTCTGGTGACTTCACGATGAATCTCTTCCAAAATGAGTCCAAGAATTACAGTGACCTTTTTCACATTGTAAATTCATGCCTAATTTTCTGCCTACTGTCACTCCTAGATCTTTTGCTATTATTGCTTCTAGATTTTCAGCATTTTATTGAATATGTTGGGTTTTGATTTTGTTTTTGTAAAAGATTTAATTTTACCTAGAAGAATCTCATTTTCTTATTTTCCCTCCCATTTCTAATCTCTGTATTGCTGCTTCAACTTGACTTATATACAAACCCCTCTGGCATCTATTTCCTCCTTGATCAAAGTAATCAGCGAATATAATAACTACAAAGACTGGTCTGATCTTCATTAATTCTCAAAATACCCTCAGGGAGAATAGCTCTCAGCAGACCTGAACACATGTAACATAATAACCAGCTAAACACATCTATTGTAGTAGAAATACTATCTCAGAAAATGTTATGTTCCTGTCTTTGTTCTTGATTTATGAATTTATGTGCAGAAGTCATTATAAACATTTCTTAAATACAAACATTTCATCTTCAGCAGTAGCAGAATATTATAGCATAACACAGGGAACTTTGAACTGCTTCTTACAAGTGGTCTCTTAATTGAAAATATATGCATTGATTATTTTCAAAATACTTTTAATTTTTTTTTTCTTTCCTTGGTAAAAAAATAAAATGTTTTTTGAAACTTTGCAGGTTATTCTCTGGCAACCTGTTGTGGTTGAAAACATCAAGAAGGACAGAGAAGTCCATTTCTATGTCAGGGCATCTGGCATAAGTAGCATAAGAGCTCAGTTAAGGCAACTGACCATCCAATACAAGTATGTATTTTTTATTTCTTGTCATTAATGTTTCTGTAAAGTTGTTTGCCATTTATTTAACAGGAGGTTGTGCTCTTTCTTTGTTATTCAGAGTCTTGATGGGAGATGCTCAAGGACTTATTGAAAAACAGACTATCAATGACACAATCAACCCGCGTAGATCTTCATCATATTATGAAAACTACCATTCAATGAAAGAAGTAAGATATTTTCATTGTAATCCTCTGTAGATTCAAGGCAGGAATTTTTTCTCATGGTTGAGAATGGAGACAGGGAAAGAAATCATCAACAGGTAAATAATTACCATTGTATTGTTCAACCACTGAGAGCTGTATTTACTGCAATGCCTTCACAGAGAAAGAATGAAGCACCAGACAAAGTCTCTCACACATGTATCGCCTCAAACTGACATTCAAGTGCAGCCAACACAGACGTGAAGTCACAAAACAACATATAAATAATTAAAACATGAAATTAATAATAATTTAACCAACTAGAACTGAAGAGGAATTGAAGGGCTATACTGGGACTGTGTTGTGACTGTATCTTACCATTTGTTGTAAGATAAATTGAGGTCAGGCAAACGGTAAGTGGCCTGAATTGCTAGGTTTTCTTTCCTACTAGCTGAAGAAGCAGGATTTGGGGAGGAAGAATGAACTTAAGTCTAGACTACTTTCAGGGATGAAAGAAAACAATAGTGAGAAGATCTATTTACTAACTTCACACTTGCAGATATATCACTGGATGGAAGAAACAGTGAAAGTCCATTCTGACCTCCTCCAGAAAATATATATTGGATCATCATATGAAAAACGACCACTTTATATTCTGAAGGTACAGCTGTAACTTACTGCAAAATCTTTCCAAGTACTAATGTAAGCAAGTGATGGGGTTTGGCCAGAACACTTTCTTAAATCTATACTTATATACTTATTTTTGTGGGTTTTAGAAGTTTTGTAAGTTCTTCTAGTAAGGTACATTACCTTTACAAATGCATTTGACCATGTAGGGAGGAATAACCAGTCACATGCATCAGTACAAATCAGGGGCTGACCTGCCAAAGAGGAGCTCTGTGGAAAAGGACCTGGGT